ACTGGGCGGGGGCTGCTCCTGGTCCTGCCCGGGACTGGGTGCCCTGCAGTGGCCAGGCAGCAGCCCCACACCACACAACCACACCAACTCGCCCACTAACACTGGGTAGGATCTGCAAGGGAGTGGAGGGAATTCATTTTAAGGCAAAAGAGCTCTGGACATTTTCAACAGAGCAGAGAGACACACAAAGCCTATGCAGAGGCAACACACCCCTGAAGAAGGTCCTCCCACCTTCACCAGCAAATGAATCCTCTGCCCTGACTCCCTGACAAGGCTGTAACATCTCTCCTGACGGTCTTGACAGTCCTCCAGGCTTAGCAGAGATTCCTTTTTGCAATCCTTCCTCTCGAATATGGGCGATGCCCACGATTGCACCAGGGTCTGGATCTCCTCAACATTGTTTTTGGCTTTCTGTATCCGCTGCTCGAGGTCACGGACACCATCCACCACCATGGAGATGTGATCCCAGGCACCTAGTACAAAATGAGATGATTGACTACTGGTTTTTAGAGCTGCTAGGCCAAGCTCTTGTCCACCTTTGAAGACCAGCCTCTGACTTTTTCCCCAGAGTCTCATGTATTTCTCACCCATCACTAACGCAAGAGGCTTGCCACCTTGCCCAACAGGGCCACCATTAGCTTCCCACTGCCCCAGAAAGCCATGGCACAGACAGCCACCACCTCTACTCTCTGCCAGGATTGCTGCCACCCTGGGGGTGTCTGACAGTTCCTGCCTCTACCTACCCAGGTTTGATCTCCCCCTGATTTCTACCGGAGAGAGAAGCCTGGGGAAGATGAGCACAAGAGGCCGAGTGTCCCTGCCACCATCACTGGAGTGGGGACCCATAGCCCCACCATATGAGCCCATGCCAGCCCAAGATGTTGAGCCACAACAAGCCCAGGCAATGCTCCAGGCCTGGGGAGAGTGGCTGGAAAGCTGCTTGGAGGAAAGGGCCCTGGGGGTGCTGATCAACAAGCGGCTGAGCCTGAGCCAGAGTGTGCCCAGTTGGCCAAGGAGGCCAACGCCCTCCTGGCTTGTGTTAGAAATAGTGTGGCCAGCAGGAGCAGGGAGGTGATTGTCCCTCTGTACTCTGCACTGGTGAGGCCACACCTTGAGTACTGGGCTCAGTTTGGGGCACCTCAATACAAGAAAGACATTGAGGTGCTGGAGAGGGTCCAGAGAAGAACAACGAAGCAGGTGAAGGGCCTGGAGAACAAGTCTCATGAGAGCGGCTGAGGCACCTGGGGCTGTTTAGTCTGAAGAAGAGGAGGCTGAGGAGGGACCTTGTTGCTCTCTACAACTCCCTGACAGGAGGCTGTAGAGAGGTAGGAACTGGTCTCTTCTCCCGAATAACTCGTGACAGAACAAGAGGGAATGGCCTCAAGCTGCCCCAGGGGAGGTTTAGGCTGGACATCAGGAAGAACTTGTTCACTGGAAGGGTTGTCAGGCATTGGAACATGCTGCCCAAGGAGGTGGTGGAGTGCCCATCCCTGGATGTGTTTAAAAGCCATGTAGATGTGGTGCCTGGGGATATGGCTTAGAGGTAGGCTTGGTAGAGTAGGGCTGATGGTTGGACTCAATGATCTCAGAGATCTTGTCCAACTAGAGTGATTCTACAGTTCCACCAGTGAGGGCTGCATTTCGATGCAGGGAACTCAGGGTTTGTCTGCAGGAAAATCCCTTTGTCTTTATTGTGCAATGGAGCAAGTTTTTCAGCATGAGGACTCCTGCTCTGCATGTACCCAAGGGAGGACACTCATAGAATCACAGAATCATAGAAT